AATCCGGGGGAGATTCTTGCTCAGGACATTGACATCCAGTTCCAAGTAACCGATATAAGGGATGCCCAACCCATTAGCCGCTTTTAACTGTAACCAATTGCACTGACGCAACTTGGCCTCGCCCTGCGACTGAAAATGTTCAACAAATAATTCTTCAGTGATAGTAGAGACCATAGAGCCTGTATCTAGTAAGCAGGGAACATTTATTCCTCCCATGTTTACCTCCACCACAGGACATTCACTCATTAGTTCAGGTGCACGTGCATGTTGGTTACTTGAGCCTGAGCTCCCCCCTCCAGGTGTTAGGCTCTCCACACCAGAGGGCGACAGTTTTCCTGCGGCCAAAAATCTATTTCCGCTGCATCATTACTTTGCACTGTGGCCTGAAGCCCTCCTTTTCTGTTTGTATTGACAGATTGCACCTGACTCCTGCAGAACCTCGCTATGTGCCCAACCCTATTGCAGCGTAAACAGATAGGTTTGCCATTGGGATCAAAACGATAGGGTTTTTCTCTTTGTTCCTTTTTCTGTGGGACCTGGGGAGTACTTAGGCCGATATGCTTCATAATGGCATCTAATTGAGCTTGTTGCTTTAATAGACACTCTTTTAGGTCCTTAATTTCAGAAGAGGGTGGGACAGACACTGAGTTTGTCTCTACCAGTACAGTATCTCTGGAGTCAGAGTACACATTACAGGAGAAAGCACGTGGTCTCTGCTTACTCAAATGTTGGCCCTCTTCTGCCCACTTTATGGCCACACCACGCAAGGCAGTAAATGAGATGGTACTGTCTTGACCAATCTGCCGCCTGAGTTCTCGCCTTAACATGTCATCATGAACTTGTTCCACAAATTGGTTGCGCAAAATTTGGTCAGAATTCAGGACACCACCTGGTGTTTTTTGAACAACAATGTCCATAAGTGACTTGAGGGCATGTGAAAATTCCCTAAGGGTTTCGCCTTCTTTCTGGTTACGCTGAAAAAATTGTAACTGTGCAGTGACATAAGATTTAGAACAGCTATAATTGTCACGAAGAATAGCAAATATTTTTTCTGGTGTATCTCTATCAGCTTGGTCATGAAATTCAAGTTCAGCTCTAGCACTCCCCTCTACATGGTCAAACAAAAAAAGAATTTGTTCAGACTGGGACATGTACCTTGCGGTTATGCACCTGCGGGCCTCCTCTATCCAGTTTTCTACAGTTATTAAATCAACAGACATTTTTCCCGAACATTTTGAACATTTACGCTCTCTTGGAACATACAAAAACTGGGTTTGTCCAGACACAGGCAACACATTGACATTTGTTGAAGCCGAAGTTGAAGCACTGGCTTCACTATTCTGCGTAGTACTTTGACTGGCCATTTGAGACCTCAACCGTTCATTCTCGGCCTGAAGCTGTTGTACCTGGTTCAAAATGGTTTGAATGTCCTCCATAGCTTCCAACAGTCTTTAGTGTTTTAGACTTGAGTGTCCTGAAGATGGGTCCCCGTGGATCTTGATTGTAGATGCCAGCCACTGTTTTGTTTTGTTTTTCCCTTCACCAATTAGTCTATGGGCCACTATTACCTCAAAGTCTCTTTATCCTGCCAGCAACGCCAAGTGTGACCAAGTGTCTAATATAATAAAACCATAAGAGACTTTATCAAGTAAATTTGACAGTATTTATTCAATAAGACTCCATAAACGAGTCGCACATTAAAATAGCAGACAGCTAGTAGGTAAATTCAGAAACTACGTTAAAACCTGGGTATTGTCAAGATATGGTCCAAATATATATAAATCAAATATATTTACAACTCCAAATCACAGCAAACCAAAACAAAATGGCCGTTGAAAGCAGCCCAAAGAAAGCAAACCCTGGACCACATATTAACATAACCCACTGTACATCGGCCCTGAAGTAATAACTAGGTCCAATTTACGGGAAAACAAAACAGTGGCTGACTAAAAACTGCAGCCGCATTGGCACTATAAAACAATAGAACAGTGTATACAAGAATACAAGAAAAGTTTATAAAACGCAACATTCACATATCTAAGAATAAATATCTTTGCACAAGTGTTCACCATTATTAAATGCTTCTACAATCAGTTGAGGCCTGCAGGTAGCTGGGATCTAAATGGACATTGAGAGTATTACTTTAATGTTGAATGTAATAAAGTCTCTACTTTAGTTCATTCAACTGGGATTTACCTTTTAGTTTAGAGTCAGTAACCAGTGCATCAGTCCATACATGCAGAGATCTGCTGGTGGCTGGAAACTTTATAATTCAGTCTGCACATCCAGGTCAGTGCTCTCAGTAGTAGGCCAGAGTGAAAAGACAGAGATTTCCCACTCTGCCCTCTTTAAAACCTTAGCCCCTCCCACCAACTTCCTGTTTTCTCCTCTACCCTTTCACACATAGCAGAAATGAAATTATCCGAGCATATTCGGGCGCTCTGGAGGCTGTTAGAGAAATGGCACAACAACAGAAAACTCTCATTTCTTGGTCTTTTCTTCTGTTTTGGAGCCATGTGAAGTAAGGACGGCTGGCAGTCGGTAACACAACTTATTGATTTGAATGTAATTTCAAAACGTTCTACCGGTCATTATTTTCTATAACGGACCTCTCAAAACAATAATGACCGCTGCCCATGACAACGCACTCTCTGCTTGTCTTTCTAATGCGTGGATAACTCCGCAAGTAGTTCCGGCCACTCCGGAGCTAGCCACGCTCAATCGACACACTTAAATGATAATCGGAGAATACTTATACATATACATTCTTCATACACGTGCACGGAAATTTTCAGAATTTTCTGGTCTTGTCTTCATGACAAAAATACTATTTCTCTGCGTCAAAAAGCGATCGTGAAAAACCCGGAAGTAGTTCCGGCCGCTCAATGAACGCAAATGCCAATCAATCAACACAATGAAATGTTAATCGGAGAGTAATTTATACATATCCAGTCTTAATACAAGTGCACGGAAATTTTCCGTTTTCATGACAAAAACACTGATATAATGCGAGAAAAGGCGATCCCGAAAAACCCGGAAGTAGATACCGGCACATTTTCGGACACATTTGCAGAGGATCGAATTATGGATTTAGGTTAGGTTTATGTTTGGGTCACTTACCGCTGATGTTCAGTTTTCATGCAGTTCCAGAGAGTTCTAGTTTGGAAGTTGCCAGCCTAACTGTTGCTAGCATAGCCACGGGAAAGCCTTTGGGAACTATTTTATTTTCTGTCATTAAATAAACCTTCAGGGCGGAAGCAGACGCTTCGCCCTGTCGGTACTTATTTTCCGATAATGACCTGCGTAATATACGTTATCCCTTACTTATTTTCCCTTTCTTCTTTTGCTGCAGCCAAAAAAGGCACACATTTTAAACATGTTTATGCGGTCCCGGGTGCACGCCGCTATCATACAGTGTTTGCTTGTCCTCCAACATGGCGGAGGTCTAGCGACTTCTAGCCCTTGTGACGTCACACGACAAATCTCTATACTCTCCATCGAATACTCAAGGGTTCATGGGAGTTTGCCCAACCTGTCCACATCTGCTGTGTGGATTTGGAGAAGGCGTTTGACCGTGTTCCCCGGGTTGTCCCTTGGGATACTCTCTGGGAGTACGGGGTCCAGGATCCTCTGCTGAGGACCGTCCGGTCCTTGTATGACCGGAGCCAGAGCTGCGTTCGCATCGCGGGCAATAAGTCAGACCTGTTCCCGGTGCATGTTGGCCTCCGCCAAGGCTGCCCTTTGTCACCGGTTCTGTTCATTGTGGGTTATTTATGGACAGAATTTCTAGGCGCAGCCGGCGGCCAAAGGGGGTCCGGTTCGGAGACCACAGGATTTCATCTCTGCTGTTTGCAGACGATGTTGTCCTGTTGGTTCCAACGAGCCAGGACCTGCAACATGCACTGGGACGGTTTGCAGCGGCTGGAATGAGAATAACCACCTCCAAATCTGAGGCCATGGTGCTTGACTGGAAAAAGGTCCCTTGCCCTCTCCAGGTGGGTGGAGTCTTTGCTCAAGTGGAGGAGTTCAAGTATCTCGGGGTCTTGTTCACGAGTGAGGGCAGGATTGAGCATGAGATTGACAGGCGGATCGGTGCAGCGTGCACAGTGATGCGGTCGCTGTATCGGACCGTTGTGGTGACCCTCTTCACCACAACGGTCCGATACAGCGACCGCATCACCGGTATATCAAGGACTTTGCCTTTTGGCTCAGCTCCCTCTAGCTGAGCCAAAAGGCAAAGTCCTTGATATACCGGTAAAACTTTGTTCCCTCCTTCACCTATGGTCATGAGCTTTGGGTAATGACTGAAAGGACGAGATTGCAAATATAAACGGTCAAAATGAGCTTCCTCCACAGAGTGGCTGGGCGCTCCCTTAGAGATAGGGTGAGGGGCTCAGTCACACGGGAGGTGGAGTAGAGCCGCAGCTTCTCCATGTCGAGAGGAACCAGTTGAGGTGGCTTGGGCATCTATTTCGGATGCCTCCTAGACGCTTTCCTGGGGAAAGTTTATTGGGTTTATTTATTTTTGCTTGATTTTAATTATTAGTGTTATTTGTAGCAGCATCCTGGTCTAAGTTGCCGGTAATGCACTTTAATTGTGATTGCCAACCGCCATAAAACTCAAACAGGAGAGGAAGAAGCCAATCACCTTACAGTACAGCTCACACCGACGTGCCACACAGACCAGAGAGAATCACATTATAATTGACCACTTCCTTGTGGAGCCTCACAGACTCATTCCAACATATTTTCCATAGGGACAAGTTTCTAAAGGAAAGAGTAGAACATGCAAAAGGCCAAACTCTGAGGTCAGAGCTTCATTCACCCAAACATGGCTCGTTTACCGTCTTTACCTTAGGCACATGTGAGCACAGGAGCAGAACACTCTTCATTTACACCTGTATTTGGACGGCAACATTATTCCCTCCTCCCCCTTCACCTCCCTCCTCCCTCACCCTTTGCCTCCTTGAGCTCTTAGTTTCTCTCAGTCACTCAGGGTCATGGCGTGGAAGACGGTCTCTCTCCTGCTTCTGCTTCTTTTTGGATTCTTGAACCTCTTCTTCTTTTGGACGGAAACCAACTGTATGAGGTGACATCACTTTTACAATATTCATAAATCTAAAGCTGGGGCACGTAACTTTCCTCTCATGTCTGGTCTCCCTCCGGTCTCTATCCTCTCTCTCCGGTCCCTCTCCAAACCAGTTCAGGAATCCAGTGCAGTTTTTTGTGGTCTCTCCCTGGTCTCTCTCTGTGTTCTTTCTGGTCTAAAATACTGGTGTGAACTAGAGCTGGAGCACACATTGGTCAAATTCAAATGTGTTATTATGTAAAAAACATGGATAAAAAAACTGCACTGGATTCCTAAACTGGTTTGTCAAGAGAGGGAACAGAGAGAGACCAGAGAGAGACAATCTCAGAGAGCCCCTCTCTGGTCTCCCTCTGGTCCCTCTCTCAACAAACCAGTGTAGGAATCCAGTGCATTTTTTTCCCCAACTCGCTGGTCTCTCTCTCTCTGGTCTCTCTCTCACTCTTGCTGGTCTCTCTCTCTGGTCTCTCAGCCTCTGCTCAGCTCTGTATTCATCTACTGTATTCACTTACACTTTACACTCTTCCCAATCCCTGCTGAAGAGAAGCAGCCCCACAGCCTGATGCTCCCCCACCATATTATCACACCCATATAATATTCTCATGTGATCAGTGTGTGTGTGTGTGTGTGTGTGTGTCTTTGTGTATTTAACTCGCCTGTGTTTGTGTTTGGTAGTTCCAAATTCTTGAGATCTGAGACCTACCAGAATCCTCCCTCCCCCACAGACCCACCTGGTCTCACCCCTGGTCTCACCCCTGGTCTCACCCCTGGTCTCACCCCTGGTCTCACCCCTGGTCTCACCCCTGGTCTCGCCCCTGGTCTCACCCCTGGTCTCACACCCATTCCCATCCTCCATCGCAAAGACTTCAAAAAGATGCCAGAGTGGGACTTCGATGACGTTTACAAGACAGACTCTGAGATACACAAGACCACACAGGTGAGACGAAAGACCAGAGAGAGAGAGACCAGAGAGAGTCCCTCTGTAGCAGTACGGCAGCAGTCTCACCTGGTCTTGCTCTGCAGGAGTGTGGCAGCAGTCTCTGGGGCAGGATCCGCTCGGACTCGGAGCTGAGGTCTAAGTTTGTCCCAAACATTCGTCTGTTCGTGTTCAACAGCAGCATCAGCCTCAGGGACTGGAACACACTCTCTCACTTCAACAACCCCTTTGGATTCATGGACTACAGGCGGCAAGGTCTGCACCGGGACTGGACCAGGACTGGACCAGGACTGGACCAGGACTGAACTGGAACTAGAGCGGGACTGGACCAGGACTGGACCAGGACTGGACCAGGACTGGACCAGAACTGCACCAGGACCAGGACTGTGAACAGGAATGGACCTGGACCAACCTTTTCCTCCATTCTTAGGGTAGAAAAGAGGCTCTCTTGGTCTCTCTCTGAGTCTTGTGCTCTTGTCTCCTCTGTCAGATGTGATGTCTGCCCTGTCACTTGTGCAGAAACCCTCCTCCTCCCTGCTGCCTCCTAAACCAGGCAGAGACTGCATCAGCTGTGCAGTGGTGGGATCAGGAGGAGTGCTCTGGAGGTCCAAGAAGGGACTAGAGATAGACAGACACGACTATGTGTTCAGGTACACAGACACACACACACAGACAGACACACACGCACGCGCACACACGTTCTTTTTACTTGTAGTGCATGTTTTTGATGAAACCATAGACTGTTTACAGAGGTACAATGCTAGCCTGCTAGCTGACTGAAGCCTTATAGGGAAATGCTCATGGTGAAGTTTGGCTCCGCTCTCATTTTGACTGCCATGTAAAAGTGAACTTCCCGAGCTCAAAAAGGATTGCCCAATCAGATGCCTTTTTTTGGTCTCTCTCTGGTCTCCCTCTGGTCTCCTTCTGGTTTCTCTCTGGTCTCCCTCTGTTATCCCTCTGTTATCCCTCCTGTCTCTCTCTGGTCTCTCTCTGGTCTCTCTCTGGTCTCTCTCTGGTCTCTCTCTGGTCTCTCCTCAGAGTGAATGGAGCAGCGATTTCTGGTTTCGAGGAGGATGTTGGGACTCGCACAGACGTCTATGTGCACACGGCTCACTCTATCACAACCTCAGAATACATCCTAAAGAAATACAACTACACAGGAGCTCCACACGACCAGGTAACCCCCAGGACCAGGTAACTCCCAGGACCAGGTGACCCCCTCAACTCACACCCCATATGTCCATTTAAAGCAGGGGTACCCTAACCCAATGGAACGTTCTCTGGGGTCTCTCTGGTCTCTCTCTCTTTCTATGGTCCCTCTGGTCTCTCTCTAGTCTCTCCTTGGTTTCTCTCTGGTCTGGGGACTTTTCTCTGATATCATCTTGTTTGATCACAAGTTTTTTCAAAAACCTGTTCTGTGTTAATACACACAGAACGGAATCAACTCAGCTACCAGGAAACATTTGTTGCCAGGAAACGTCTGTTACCAGGAAACATCTTAATACTCTGTAAACACCTAATAAGTAGAATGAACATAAAATAACACATTTATGTTCACAAAAGTAATAAGAACTTAAAATGATGAACTATGTATGGTCAGGTGTGTGTGTGGTCAGGTGTGTGTGGTCAGGTGTGTGGTCAGGTGTGTGTGTGGTCAGGTGTGTGTGGTCAGGTGTGTGGTCAGGTGTGTGTGGTCAGGTGTGTGGTCAGGTGTGTGTGTGGTCAGGTGTGTGGTCAGGTGTGTGTGTGGTCAGGTGTGTGGTCAGGTGTGTGTGTGGTCAGGTGTGTGTGGTCAGGTGTGTGTAAACAGGTGTGTGGTCAGATGAACTCCTGCAAGATTCACATGGTTAACAACACATGTAAATCACTTTAAATAACAATCTTTTAAAAAAAAGAAAACAATAAAAGTGTTAATAACACTTAAGAAATGTGTAACGGACGAGATGGTTACCGTCAATTTTTTTCAAAAAATTGATCTTGAGAAAACAAAAGATCCTCTGGTTTCACATTTAATTGGTTTACGATATATGAAACTTTGTTTCTACTCTGTGTAAAAAAAAAGTATCTGAATCAAATGTGGATCTGAAAATATGGAACAAACTTCCACAGCTCATTCTGTCAAATCATCACGTGCGTTACATAAAAAACACAGAGCCGCTTTAGGAGGATCTTCTAATTCATTGGGAAGAGAACAGTGACAACTTCTAATGGACAAAAGAGGTTTTTGGATACATGGAAAACATAATATATCTTCTATTTATTAAAATCTTATTTTTGGCTTTTTGTCACACTCCTGTATCCTTTAGTGTGAACAAGCCCCTCGGTTCTCGTCATTTTCATCAAGGTTAGTTGTTTTAATAATAAAATGAGTCGGAGTAAAAAGCCTGTCAGTGACGTGCCGGTGAGGTGATGATTGAGGCACTCCCAACCTGATTTAACGATAATTATCAAAAGGACAAGCAGTACGGCTTTGTTTGCTCAAGCAAAACAAAAACAGTAAAAAGCACAAAGTGTTATGGACATTATGTGAACTCCATACACCGCTTCAGGTCCGACCAGTTTCATGTTTTCGATCTAGATAAAAGTTTGTATATAGATATGTAATCCTCTATTTGGAAATGAGCTTCAAAAATTAAAAACAGCAAATGCAAATAGGATGCACCCGAGAGTCGGCTGCAGAGAGTTATCATAACAAAAGAGGAGACACCCGTATTTGTTTCTAAAGATCATTTCTAAATAGAGGATTACCATTATTATTTTTGTTCCCTTTTTTCATGGTAACGCAACAAAATATTACAATAATCCAGCAAATACATAACTTGTACATTATGAAAATGAGAAGAGATGTAGGATGAAGAAAAAAAATCTTAGTTGAGAAATTTAGCAAATTTACTGTCACTTTACTCTACCGCACTCTTAACGGTCTATTGGGTGCACCTAGTGCACTTGTGTAGAGTAAACTAAGAAATGGATTTTTATTTATGCATTTGTTCTGCTTTAACTTGTTTGCACCGAGCAGGGACGTGCGGTGAGGTTTGTGATTGGGGAGGCACTGACTTTAAAAGTCAGATTTACAATCATTATTCAAATAAAATAGCATTTAATCACCAATGCAATGACATCCACAAACTTTATATACTGTAAAGATAAGAGAACCAGCTTCTTTTAATAATCTCACAACAAATCTAGCTGCTGACTCTGCTCCGCATCAAACAACATCTTTAAGAAGCGCAGGTGCGAGAGACGCGAGGAGAGAGAGACGCGAGGAGAGAGGAGCAGAGAGAGACAGAGAGGAGCAGAGAGACGGAGACGCGAGGAGCAGAGAGAGACAGAGAGGAGCAGAGAGACGGAGACGCGAGGAGAGAGAGACGCGAGGAGAGAGGAGCAGAGAGAGACAGAGAGGAGCAGAGAGACGGAGACGCGAGGAGCAGAGAGACGGAGACGCGAGGAGCAGAGAGAGACGGAGACGCGAGGAGCAGAGAGAGACAGAGAGGAGCAGAGAGACGGAGACGCGAGGAGAGAGAGACGCGAGGAGAGAGGAGCAGAGAGAGACAGAGAGGAGCAGAGAGACGGAGACGCGAGGAGCAGAGAGAGACGGAGACGCGAGGAGCAGAGAGAGACAGAGAGGAGCAGAGAGACGGAGACGCGAGGAGCAGAGAGAGACAGAGAGGAGCAGAGAGACAGAGAGGAGCAGAGAGAGACAGAGAGGAGCAGAGAGACGGAGACGCGAGGAGAGAGAGACGCGAGGAGAGAGAGACGCGAGGAGAGAGAGACGCGAGGAGAGAGAGACGCGAGGAGAGAGAGACGCGAGGAACATAAACAATAATTTAAACAAGTTGCAGAACTCTTGAGCAGTGTTTGAATCAGTGTTTTTCGGAAAAGCACTACTTTGCCGGTATCTGTCAATGTTCAACATAAAACACAGATTAACAAACTCCTCCCCCGCAGCCGGACTAACCTCGTAAGTCCAGTGGTGGTCTCCCAGTCTATATTAATTCTTTCTTTGTTTGAAAGTCCAATTGAGAAAAAAAATCTTCATTCAAATCATCCATTTTCCAGCAAAAGAAATAGCATTTTGGGCTGATTGTTTGTTAGCAACTCTGGTATGAACTTTATGCTCACTATCACCCCTAGCGGTGAGGCACAGATACCGCCTGCCTCACGCCAAGCTTTTTCCTTGTGTGTTCATCTACGATCAAAAGACTTAAACTAAATATAAATTGTACACACATACGTGCAATACACTACTAAACACTAAGAGGAGTTTAAAAAATGTTTTTAAAGCAGGATATTTGAAACAAACGGTGATATATCAACTGCACGAGCTGAGTGCACTCAGACACACACACACACACACACTGTGAGGGAGCGGTCTGAGGTGAGGCACGCAGGAGCGCTGCCTCACCTCGTCTCTTTGAATAGGAATAACGGGATTTCGGCGATTTTGACTTCAGAAATGATCAAAACTGATGGGAACCGTGCCGAATATACATTAAAAGCATAGGACAGTGGATATAAATTATATATTTAAACTAAAATAATTATTAGTTTCCAATAATGGCAGGTGAGGCTCTGCCTCCCCTGCCTCCCCTGACTGCACGTCCCTGGCACCGAGAGCCAAAGCAATTTCCTAGTTTGTGGCTTCTTGTTGCTCACATGGCAATAAAAGGACTCTGATAACAGGGAGTGTTATTTTTTTTTTTTATGTATGATTTATTTATAGATTTTCATAATAATTCCAACAGTTTACAAAGGAAGGTGTGTAGACAAGTACAATGCAAATGGTATCCTCAAAAAGTAAAGTGCACACCCAAGGCAGAGATATTTGTCACATGTAAAAAAAAAAAAAAAGATAAATAAACAACATACACTTCAAAAGATAACAAATATCCGAAATACTGTTAGGATATAACAAAAATAAATAAAACAAAATAAAGGGGGGGGGGGGGGGTTGCTACTAAGTAAATAGGAAATGTGTAAATCTGTCAACCACTTAGTTTCAACAGATACCAGTCAAGGAGCCACATTCAATGTCAAAGACATAACATGGTCTAGAAAAGGAATCCATATTTTTGAAAATTCAGAGATTCAGAGAGATTATGCCTAATTTTCTCCAGTTTCATGAATGAAAGAGCGTTATGGAAGCCCGTTTCCGCCATGTAAAAAAAAAAAAAAAGCATACAGAAAGTCAAAATTTTTAGTTTAAAACTCAAAATTACGACTTTTAAAAGTCAAAATTTCGACTTTAAAAGTCAAAATTACGAGTTTTCAACTGCGCATGTGCAGTTGAAAACTCGTATGTGTTGTTATCTGGAACGGTCTCTGGACGTCCTTCACCTGCAGATTATGTGAAGATATTGCCGACAGTGACCACTGCATCCTTGAAGTAGCCAGAAATAATGTTGTTTGATTGATTCTGTAAAACTTTCCTGTTTAAGCCCCAGACCGCGGTCGTAGGACGCAGGGGGAGCTGTCTTTTTATTTATTTATGTTAAATTCAATTTACATATATACAACGTTTAAATCAAACGACTTCTTATTTCGACATAGTAACAAATAATTTGAGCAATATGTTTTTATAATAAATCAAAGGAAAATGAGCCATCGAGACATTCCAATCCAATCTGCTCTAGACCACTCTGACCAGACGATGGCGCTGAGAGGGGTCCACACGGAGCGAGTCTTTCCACGGCTGAAATGATGAGCTTTCTACGTGTTGAGTACGGGGTTTTATTCATGCATCTATAATGGGTTTAACTCCCTTTTCAAAGACCCTCACTGTTATCTGCGGAGTTATTTCTCCGGATTGTTGCTAAAAGACTCGTGGGCTTTATTTTGTCACATATAATCAGACAAGGTACTTATTCCCTGTATGTCTCTGTGTTCTTGTTCATACGCCAACAACTTTACCCGCACGCTCGCTCCATCAGCTCACCCCCGCGTGCACGCAAACACGTCACATACTCTTCAATGCACTGATCGCCAAAAGGGTAATATTGTCAGTGCCCGTGACTGTGGTTCTCCTGCCTCTGTCTGTGGTTCTCCTGCCTCTGTCTGTGGTTCTCCTGCCTCTGTCTGTGGTTCTCCTGCCTCTGTCTGTGGTTCTCCTGCCTCTGTCTGTGGTTCTCCTGCCTCTGTCTGTGGTTTACCTGCCTCTGTCTGTGGTTCACCTGCCTCTGTCTGTGGTTCTCCTGCCTCTGTCTGTGGTTCTCCTGCCTCTGTCTGTGGTTTACCTGCCTCTGTCTGTGGTTCACCTGCCTCTGTCTGTGGTTCTCCTGCCTCTGTCTGCGGACCTCCCTCACTGTCCAGTAATCGCGAACGGTGTCTCTGTCAGTCACAATATCATTCACTGCATTTCTGGTGCATCCATCGATAGCCGTGATACTGACCAGACGTCACCAGTTGATGCTCAATGACTTTGAACAGCCGCATGTGTTTTATTATTAATCTTCCACAGTCCGTTTAGGATAAATTAAATAGAGGCTTCTGAAGCGGATTCTAATCATAAACGGAGAGACCGTTTGCATTTTATCGCGATTACTACCACAACATTATTGCTGTTACTTCATGGATGTGGTCACTGTCTGTAGGCAAAATCTTCACATAATCTGCAGGTAGAGGATGACACATGGTCATGGATCTATAACAAGGATGACCAGAGACCGTTCCAGACAACAACACATACGAGTTTTCAACTGCACATGCGCAGTTGAAAACTCGTAATTTTGACTTTTAAAGTCGAAATTGTGACTTTCTGTAGGCTTTTTTTTTTTTTTTTACATGGCGGAAACGGGCTTCCATAGAGCGTCCTTAATCCATAGAGAATGAGTTGGTGGGTGAGGGTCCTTCCAAGGCATCAAAATACAGCACTTAGCCAACAGTGTTAGAAAGGCCACAAGACTATCACAGTAGGGTTGTAAGGTGTGGCCGGGAGGCAGTGTGCGAAAGAGGGCTGTCAATGGGGACCTCTGAACTCTGGCATTACAAATAAAGGACAGGGAATCAAAAACAGTGTCCCAGTATGTAGTCAGTGAAGGACAGGTCAAGAACATATGAGAAAGATTTGCTGGGCTTAAATGGCATTTCACACACTTATCATCAGAGCCTGGAAAGACTCGAGCCAGTCTACTCTTCGACCAATGGACCCTGTGGACCACTTTGCATTGAATGATACAGTGTCGCGCACAAATAGATGAAGAATGAACACGTTTAAGAGCAAGACCCCACTGTTCATCATTAATCTCCACTCCAAGTTCCTCAGACCATGCTACTCGCAGATTGTTTGATGAAACATTAAGTAAAGAAAACAAAAGACTATATATTTTAGAAATTGTACCTTTTGCTGAAGGCTTGAGTGTCATAAGTGCATCAATTGTGGTGGTATTGGGAATGATAGGAGCACTTGAAAAATGTTTACTAATAAAATGTCGGGCCTGTAGGAAGCGGAAAAAGTGGGTATTTGGGAGGTTAAATTTGGAAGATAACTGGGCAAAGGATGCCAGAATACCCTCTATGTAAAATTCTCTAACTGAGGCGAGTCCCTGGTTTCTCCATATGGTAAAGGTTCCATCAGTCAGCGATGGAGGAAACAGGGGATTGGAGTGAAGCGGGGAGAGAAGAGGAATTCCCTGAATAATGAAATGTTCTTTAAATTGGTTCCAAATTTTAAGGCTGTTTTTCACTATAAAATTATCAGAGTATGATGTAAGTGATGATTTAAGAGGGAGACATAGGAGAGAAAACAAAGAGCCAGAGTGACAAGAGGTCTCCTCCACCGACAGCCAGAGTGGTTTATCATTGCTGTTGCTGCACCAAAATAGCATTGTGCGTATATTTACAGCCCAGTAGTACAGCAGAAAATTTGGTAAGGCAAGTCCTCCCTCCTTTTGCCCTTTTGTAGCAAAATTTTGCGCAGTTTGGGGGGTTTCCCGCCCCACAAAAATTGTGATAAAGTATTGTCAAGGGTCTGAAAGAATTTCTTGGGTATAAACACAGGTAAACTTTGGAAAAGGTAAAGGAACCTGGGCAGAACGTTCATCTTAATGCAACCAATTCTTCCTGCAAGAGAGAGTGGTAAGGTCGACCAGCGCTCTAGATCTTTGGCCAGCTGATCAAGCAGTGGATTAAAATTGAAACGGAATGGATCTGAAAAGTTATAGGTTACATTAATCCCCAGGTATTTAATGCAATCCAGAGAAATTTTAAATGGTAAATTGGAAAATTTGTGTTTAGTGGCCACAGAGTTAACTGGGAGAAGTTCGCTTTTATTGAGATTCAGCTTATACCCTGAGATCTGTCCAAATTCCTCCAATAAAGTCAAAATTGGAGGTATAGAAACATCAGGGTCCGACACAAAAAGCAGGAGATCATCAGCGTATAACGATACTTTGTGAACCCTGTCTCCCCTCAAGATGCCCCGCATTGAACTGGATCTAATGGCTGCGGCAAGTGGCTCTATGGCAATCGCAAAAAGAAGGGGAGACAGGGGGCACCCTTGACGGGTACCGCGGCCCATTGAAAAGTATTCAGAGTAATCGTTTCAGGGTGTAAAATAAAAAAGGCCACTCCATACGGGCAAATGCATTTTCGGCATCCATGGAAATGACAATTTCAGGCAAATGAGATGACGAGGGGGAGTGCAAGATATTCATAAGGCGCCTTATGTTATGATAAGATTGCCTGGACTTAATAAAGCCTGTCTGATCCGGGCTGATTAATTTGGGCATTATCGAGTCCAGACGTTTTGCAAGCATTTTGGCTAACATTTTTACATCTGTGCCCAACAACGAGATTGGTCGATAATGGCTGCAGTGTCGTGGGTCTTTATGTTTCTTTAAAATAAATGAAATGGTTGCTTGGCGTAAAGTGGTGGGAAGGACACCAGTGTCAGAACATTCTTTTAACATATTGAGAATCAAGGGCGACAATTTGTCAACAAAAACCTTATAGAACTCCGTCTCCTCCAGGACTTTTTTGGCTCTGCATGGACATAACAGCCTTCTTTAGTTCCTCAGCAGTGAAGCACCTGTCCAGACTCTCAGCTAAAATTGGGTCAAGTGTTGGAATGGTAAGGCTTGAAAAAGAAATGTTCATAACAGTCATTATTAGGCGGACATTCAGTTGTATACAGAGAGGAGTAGAAATCCCGAAATTGGTCGTTAACAGTTTGAGGATTAATTGTCAGTACATCCGAAGCAAAGATTTCAGTGATGTGCTGCGCCGCTGCTGATTGGCGAATCTGATAATAATAATAATAATTTATTTAAAAGCGCCTTTCAAAACACCCAAGGACACTGTACAGGCATAATAAAAACATTTAAAAACAGGATAAACAGAATAAAACAGTAGTCAGGTGCAATATGGGATGGTGTGTGTGTGTGTGTGAGTTAAGGAGGGTGTGTGTGTGCGTATGTGTTAGGTGTGTGTGTGTGTGTGTGTGTGTGTGTGTGCGCGCGCGTGTGTGTTAGGTGGGGTAGGACAGTCTGAACAGATGGGTTTTGAGTCGGGATTTGAAGAGTGGAAGAGAGTCAATGGTACGGAGGTCAGGGGGGAGAGAGTTCCAGAGCTGGGGGGCAGAGTGGCTGAAGGCTCTGTGTCCCACAGTGATGAGTCTGGCTGGGGGGACGGAGAGTGTGAGGGTGGAGGAGGAGCGGAGTGTGCGGGCAGGAATGTGAGGGTGGAGGAGGTCAGATAAGTACGGAGGGGCCAGGTTGTGAAGTGCTTTGAAGGTGGTGAGGAGTATTTTGAAATTGATGCGCTGTTTGACAGGAAGCCAGTGGAGTTGTTGTAGTACGGGGGTGATGTGGTGAGCTGTGGGGGTCCGGGTGATGATACGAGCTGCAGAGTTTTGGAGGAGCTGCAGTTTCTGGAGGGATTTGTTGGGGAGGCCGAAGAGAAGTGAGTTGCAGTAGTCAATCCTTGAGGTGACGAGGCTGTGGACGAGGATGGCGGTGGTGTGGGGGGTGAGAGAGGGGCGGAGACGAGAGATATTGCGCGAGGTGGAAGTAGGCAGACCGAGTGATGTTATTGATGTGGGATTGGAAGGAGAGTGAACTGTCGAGGATGACACCCAGGCTCTTGACTTGAGGGGAGGGGAGGACAGATGTGTTATGGATGGAGATTGAGAAGCTGGTAGATTTGGAGAGAGTGGAGGGGGTGCCTATGAGAAGGACTTCAGTTTTTGAGCTATTGAGTTTGAGAAAGTTGGAAGAGAACCAGGAATGAATTTCTTGTAGACAGAGGGTGAGGGAGGATGGAGGGAGAGAGGAAGATGGTTTAGTGGAGAGGTAGAGCTGGGTGTCATCCGCGTAGCAGTGGACACGACGAGGACATCCCGGACCAGATGGCCCTTGGTGTTGAGGGAGCGCACGTTGAGGAGACCGAAGCTGACGGTGGTGGAGCTGTTCTTGGCTGCCGCGGGCTGAGCCGATCGGGCCACGCTGACCAGGACACTGTCAGCGTCCCGACCAGCGGTGCGGGAGCAGCGGCGAGTGGTGGACCAGAGGGACTTTATTGAATGGGAGTCCTTGTATTGGAGCTTACGGCGTGATCCACGGTGAACGTACCGCCGCCGGGGCTGGAAGGCGATGCCCGGGGGGATGTCATGTCCGCGCTCCGGTGGCTGAAGAGGAGCGGGGACGTGGTGCCGAAGTTTTAAAAGTTCAGCAGCGGAGTACTGGAGGAGAGAATTGGCCTGCAGATGGACCAGGGACACGATGAGCCAGATGACAACAAGCCAGCGCGTTATATGGCAGACACACATCGTTTCCCAGGAGGGGAATACGACAGCCAGGGGTCCCAGGTATGAATATGTCCAAAATGCTTATGACAACAGCAAACTGTGGTTGATATCGAAAGCAGGTAAACAATCCTTAAAACACAACGTAACCACGACATCCAATATTGCGTAAACAATGTTTTAGTCCGTGTTTGTTCTGTGAGCAGCGGCTGCCAAAGCGCGCCAGCGTTCACTCACATGATGAGACAGCACTTTGCTGGGCTTATCACCAAACTCGTAGTAGTTGAACCGGGTCTTAGTTAAAGATTTAACTGCCTCTTCCGTGGCCAATGAATCAAATTCAGCCTTTTTTACTAACAGTTCCTTAGACAAATCCGCCGAAGGTGAATCTGCACACCTTGCCTGCAGGTCAGAAATGGCTGCGTAAAGGGCTTGGCTTCTTTGAGAGGTCACATTGTTTTTATAGGCTGTGTAAGAGATTATTTCACCCCACAAGAAGGCCTTACAAGCTTCCCATGTGACACTTGCAGAGATGTCTGGTGTAACATTTGTAGAAATAAAAAGGTCAATTCGGTCGCTTATAGTTTTAACAAATTCTGCATCATCAAGCAAGAGAGAGTTAAAACGCCATGGAGATCGGGAAAGAGTGTTCCCTGGAAAAGATATGTCTAGTGTAATGGGAGCGTGGTCTGAGATTACAATTGGTATAAATACACAAGATTTCACCATAGGAAGCAAACTATTTTCCAGCAGGAAAAAATCTATTCTTGAAAATGTACCGTGGACTGGTGAGAAAAAAGAATACTGTTGGGCACTAGGGTTGAAATACCGCCAGACATCAGAGAAACCATACTGCTGCATAAATAGTTCTATTGTTTTTGCGGATTTTGATGCAGAGTATGGTTTATTGGAGGAACGGTCAAGAGACCCAAGACAGCAGTTAAAATCACCCGAAATAATAAACTGTCTACTGTTCAAGTCAGGGAGATTAAAAAACAATTTCTTGAAGAAATCTTCACAATCAAAATTTGGTCCATATATGTTCACAAGAGCAAGATTATTTCCAGATATTTTTCCTAAAACTATAATATAACGGCCATTAGGGTCTGAAATCACATTAGTCACTGATAATGGGACAGCCTTATGAACAAGGACAGCAACACCACGTGCTCTACTATTGAAAGAGGAATGGTATAGCTGTCCCACCCAGCCAAATCGAATTTTAAGTTGATCAGCGACTGACAAATGGGTTTCTTGCAAAAAGGCAATTCTTGTGTTTAATTGTTTCAGGTGATTCATAACTTTTTTCCCCTTAATTGGAGAGTTTAATCCTTTGACATTCCAACTAACCAGTCTTAAGGCACCACCTAGCGGCCTAGAGATATTACTATTCAACATACAGAGTTAGAGTTAGTTTCCAATTGTTGTGGCTGATACATAATTCGTAATTGTCAAAGAGAGTAGCACTTGTAGAAAAGAAAAACACAAGAGGAAAAAAGGAGGAGGTGGAGGGTAATAAAAAAGAAACAAAAAAAATTGTCACAAAAGGTGACAGCCAAGCCTCTGATCTAGTAATCAGCATTTTGTAAAACTTCCTAATCCCTAACACTCTGCGACCGCACCAGGAAAGAACAATAAACACCAAGTCTTCATTATCATCCAATATGGTAGCAAGTTTGGACTTTCTGTAGCAACTCAATGACGCTAAGTAACCTGAATGAAAAATAAATAAAAATAAAAAATAAATTAATACCCATTACTTGGTCAACCATTTTCGGTTCCTTCACTTTTCAAAAAAATTTAAAAATAAAAAGGGAAAAACACATCCTACATGAGCAAATTTGGCAAGTGGCATTGTCATTATAAAGGAAATAATGCAAGTTACTGGTAGGAAATGAAGAAGATGGCATAGTCTGGGATCGCGTCTTAAATTCAGACAGAAGACATGTTTTATTGTCGATGGTAGAGACAGCACGAACAAAGCACACGATCACAGAAACAATAGAATGCAAGTGTATTATACAGAGCGGAGGCCTGGAGACCTCCAATCAGCAGCTTCCACGGTGTGCTTGTAGCTTGGCCTTCAGATAGACAAAACAAGGGAAAAGTACTGGCTTCTGCACATTGATAGAATGATGAGTTTAACTTTAACAAAAGTTGCTTCAAAGTGTTATGAAATCTCACATTCCCCCCTCTGGTCATACATTCACGTGTGACCATCAGGATCGATAAACAGCAACATAACATCATAACTCAATACTTCAAAAACTCATAAACTCGGTACTTCAAAAAACTCAGAACTCGGAATACTTAAAAAACTCAGAAAACTCATAAAACATGTTCAGATCTTTCATAAAACTTGTCAACAATCTTCAGTAAAATACCAAACTTCATCAGTCGATGGTGGTTCCAGATATTGCTTTGAAAACAGTCTCTCCCACTTCTCCGTGTTGGATTCTTCAGGCTGCATTTGTGTCGAGCCATGAATTCTTCTGTGACGTGTCTTTCAATCACACGTTTCAGCTTCAGTGTCCAGATTTAGCAAATCAATTCAGTCCAAATTATGTCCAAATTCAGAAATCCAGATTGTTCCAAATGATGTCCTTGCAAAAGAGGACGCTGGTCTTGTCCATATCTCAGCAGCTCACAGCCTGAGTGGAATCAGGGGCTGTGCAGATAGTCCAAGTGTGCTGGTCCAGATGCATGGTTTCTCTTGAGGTTTCTCAGTTTTGGCTTTTTTTGTGCTTAAAAAAAAAAAAGTACTTTTTGTGTAAAAAGGCCCGCATCCTTCCACCACCTGAAGAAGATGGCATAGTCTGGGATCGCGTCTTAATTCAGACAGAAGACATGTTTTATTGTCAATGGTAGAGACAGCACGAACAAAGCACACGAACACAGATACAATAGAATGCAAGTGTATTATACAGAGCGGAGGCCTGGAGACCTCCAATCAGCAGCTTCCACGGTGTGCTTGTAGCTTGGCCTTCAGATAGACAAAACAAGGGAAAAGTATGGCTTCTGCACATTGATAGAATGATGAGTTTAACTTTAACAAAAGTTGCTTCAAAGTGTTATGAAATCTCACAGAAATATTTACACAGACGTTTAGGAGTCATTGTCCAAGTCCTGAACAAACTTTTTCGTTGCTGGAGCTGATGTGAGCCACTTCCTCTCCCCGTTTGGCATCATGATGCGCAGCTTGGTTGGAAAGAGCAGGCGCCGGGCGGTATCCTCGCTTATACAGCTCGGCCATGGCAGTGCGGTACTCGCTGCGCAGCTTCAACACGTCCGGGCTGTAGTCCTCGTAGATGCGAATCGATGGTCTTTGTAGAGCAGGGGTCCTCTTCTACGGGCCTCACGGATGATCAGGTCTTTCACTTGAAAGCAGTGGAGGCGGATGTTCACAGGACGGGGTCTGGCTCCTGGAGCGGGCTTTGGAGCGAGGGTTCGATGGGCTCGGTCAATCTTCGGGGACGTGGAGAGAGTGTTCTGCCCAAATACATCAACCAGGAGCTGGGAGAAGAAAACGGTTGGGCGTGTGTCCTCCAAATTTTCAGGTAAGCCCACCACGCGAATGTTTTGACGTCTGCTGTGACTCTCGAGGACCGCCACTCTCTCTCTGAGGGAATCCATTTTCTTTTTGTAACGCGCACCAGTTGTTTTCAATGTGTGTGAGGCGGCTATCAACCGAGTTCGCGTTGTCCTCCAGTGAAGTGATACAGTACGTGTGCCTTGATCCTTAACTGCAGCCTCTACACCGTCCAGTTTTGAAGCGAGGGTCTGGAAAGATGATTTAAAATCGGACGAAATGGCTTCTCTATGCTCCTCGAGTAGCGCTGTGATGTCTTTCAAAGTTAAGCTAGCGCTAGCGGGTTCTTTCTCAGGTTTTCCTTTGAGTTTAGACATTGTAACTAAATGGGGTTGCGGTGTCAAAAAGGTTAAAAATGGAAAAGTATAGTGCGGGGGCAGACTAAACGTGCGCCTATTCCTCGGCCGCCATAACCGGAAGTCCAACAGGGAGTGTTTTGCTTTATGAACAAATGTGATAAATGAGTGTGCAAAGATGGCGTTCGACTTGCGGCTTTAATTTATTTCATTTATTTCTCAGAATCCCCTTTTCTGCTTTGACAACACCCGTGACCTCATCCTGATGCATTGCCGAAATTAAAGACCACAGCTTTTTGCTGATGCCCTCCGGTACAGGCTGGGCTAGGGAGCAGAGGGACTGGACCCTACTTCTACCTGGTTTAGCCTGGTTTAGCCTGGGCATCTTTCTGTGAAAGCCGGCACCTGGCCACATGCCTCCACAGCGACTTTCGCTTAAGCAATGCCCCACAGTCTATACAGTGCAAAAACTCACTGGATTTAACTGGGGAATTTGGCTGTTTAGCTGGGACTAAAGTTCCAATGCCGGCCTTTAAAACCTCAAAATTGTGCTCACGGTTTCCACTATTCCTGATCAAATCAAAGTGAAGTTTACGTGCTTTAGATTTCACAGGTAGAGCCAATGCTCTGGCTACGTCACTTTCATTTCCATGTTTTCTAGTCAAATGACGGGACATTTTGTGGCAGGACATTGAACAGTAGAGGCAGAAGTGTGTGTCTCTTGCTGTAAACTCGCCCCCCATTTTTCTTCTTTTGCAGCTGCATGATAACAATCTTATTTGCCTTTGGTTCGTCACTTTCCGAGTCTTGAAGAAAAGTGTTTTTGATTTTTCTTTTTCCATACTTTTTTACAGGTTTCTTCTTGACAGTTAAATCGTCAGAATCTGAGTCGACTTCATCAATTAGGGACTCTTGACTAAGCTGCACAAACAACAAATAATTTGTAATAATTCTATATAACAATTTGAAGTCATGACTTGTAGTCAGCACTTACCAGTGGTTTGTAAGCGTGCGCTTCAGTGTGCTCCTCCATGATTTCTTGCAGCCTAATGAACCACACACTTGCACCTTTTCACCTGATTTCCTCTGTTGTGCTGCTCCATGATTGGCTCCAGCCTGCTGGACTGAAATTGCCCCAGTGTGCCCCTCCTTGATATCCCGCAATCCACCACCAGGGTTCCGACACATAACACACTTTTTTCAGGAAAGTAAACCTCCAGGGGTCCTTTCCATATTTTTACAGAGACTGCATAAGGACCGTTAGAAAAGCATTACCCATTGATTATTAAGCTTGGACCAGTGGGGTCCGGTGTTCGGGCCCCACCACGTAAAACCAGTCCCCATGACGTGAGTGGAATCTTAGGTTATGGACCCCACCAGGAGTTGAAAACAAGTGCACACGCACACACACACATACACACACACACACACACACACACACACACACACACACACACACACACACACCTGAGAGAGACCAGAGCAAAAGTGTGAGTGTGTCTCTCGCTTTATCTGTGTGTGTCAGTATTTGTGTGTGTGTCTATCTTGTACTGTGGTATATACAAACCTACAAAAACACACCTTCCATTCCCTCTGATCTGTGTGACTGTTGTGAGGCGTGGCGGTCCAGGAATAGCACATTTAAAGTCACTTTGAAGCGAGATATTGATCCACAAATAGAACCTTCAGTTTCTGACCTGTTTTCACGTCGCTGTCTCTGATTTATATTTATCCTCCAAACTCCAGAGAGATTATAATCATGTGGATGTGACTGATGAGGGCTAACAATGCTAACACACACTTTATACAGACGCACAATACTAACACACACTTTATGCAGACGCACAATGCTAACACACACTTTATGCAGACGCACAATGCTAACACACACTTTATACAGACGCACAATGCTAACACACACTTTATACAGACGCACAATGCTAACACACACTTTATACAGATGCACAATGCTAACACACACTTTATACAGACACACAATGCTAACACACACTTTATACAGGCGCCCAGAGACCAGAGAGAGACCAGACCTACTAGAGAGAGAGATTAGAGAGAGAGACCAGAGACTAGAGAGAGAGAAAGGGACCAGAGAGACCAGAGTGAGACCAGAGTGAGACCAGAGTGAGACCAGAGTGAGACCAGAGTGAGACCAGAGTGAGACCAGAGTGGGACCAGAACACCACTTGAGCCATTTCATCGCGGTAAAATAACGACGAGAGCCTCTTTCCAAAAGGCTTTAATGAGCCGCGTGTGAGAGACAGAATCAAACATAATTTATACAGAACACAAATAGATATGATATATTTATTTATATACAACACATGGGTTATATTCATACAGTTGTGCTGATTTAAGGCAGACGCCGAGAGTGACAGTGGGGGAGGGGAGGGGAGAGAGAGGAGAGGGAGGGGACAGGGACAGTGGGGGAGGGAGAGAGCGGAAAGAGAGGGGAAGATAAAAGGATAGAAAGAGAGAAACTGGAGAGAGAGACCCTTAGGGGAGAGAGACAGAGTGAGGGAGGAGAGAGTATTAAGACACAGAGGATTGGTCTTCAGTTCAAAAAGGAGGAGTTTTGCCGCACAGTGAAAAAGTCACATGTTTTAAAATGTTGTTTATTCATTAAGAATAAATAAGATAGAGACCGGAGAGACCAGAGAGACCAGAGAGAGACCAGAGAGAGACCAGAGAGAGACCAGAGAGAGACCAGAGAGAGACCAGAGAGAGACCAGAGAGAGACCAGAGAGGGACCAGAGAGAGACCAGAGAGAGACCAGAGAGAAACCAGAGAGACCAGAGAGAGACCAGAGAGGGACCAGAGAGAGACCAGAGAGGGACCAGAGAGGGACCAGAGAGGGACCAGAGAGAGACCAGAGAGGGACCAGAGAGAGACCAGAGAGAGACCAGAGAGAGACCAGAGAGGGACCAGAGAGAGACCAGAGAGAGACCAGAGAGAGACCAGAGAGAGACCAGAGAGAGACCAGAGAGGGACCAGAGAGAGACCAGAGAGAGACCAGAGAGAGACCAGAGAGAGACCAGAGAGGGACCAGAGAGAGACCAGAGAGGGACCAAAAAGAATGACCAGAAAGAGAGAGACCAGAGACTCTCTTGATCTGAATTCTCTACTTATATTGTAGAGTCTGAGTGTGATGTCACAGTGCATCAATGACATCATACTATCGCAGGACTTAGGAGCTTTCAGACAGAATGGGCAGAGCTACATGTGTGTGCTTCCTGAGGTGAGCGTGGATGGAGCCAAACACAGTCGCAGGTCTGTGGACAGAACTCCTCCTTCTGCTACAGTCGCTGCTCTTTGTCAATATTCACTTTTAACACGTCTATTGCTAAGAACACAGGCCCAAGACCAGCATCGAGCAGGTACTAGAGCTTCACCTACCAGCAACACACATAGTACCAGCAACTCACGTACCAGCAACACACATAGTACCAGCAACACACATAGTACCAGCAACTCACGTACCAGCAACACACATAGTACCAGCAACACACGTAGTACCAGCAACTCACGTACCAGCAACACACATAGTACCAGCAACACACGTACCCGCAACTCACGTACCAGCAACACATGTAGCAGCTGAGCCAGTGTCCAAACCAAAAACATACAAATACATCCGGACTAAACTTCTAGAAATGGAGGCCTATGTGTGTGTGTGTGTGTGTTAGAGTGTGTGAGAGAGAGACCAGAGAGAGACCAGAGAGAGACCAGAGAGAGACCAGAGAGAGACCAGAGAGAGAATAGAGAGAGAATAGAGAGAGATCAGAGAGAGACCAGAGAGAGACCAGAGAGAGACCAGAGAGAGACCAGAGAGAGACCAGAGAGAGACCAGAGAGAGAATAGAGAGAGACCAGAGAGAGACCAGAGAGAGACCAGAGAGAGACCAGAGAGAGACCAGAGAGAGACCAGAGAGAGACCAGAGAGAGACCAGAGAGAGACCAGAGAGAGAATAGAGAGAGACCAGAGAGAGACCAGAGAGAGACCAGAGAGAGACCAGAGAGAGACCAGAGAGAGACCAGAGAGAGAATAGAGAGAGAATAGAGAGAGATCAGAGAGAGACCAGAGAGAGACCAGAGAGAGACCAGAGAGAGACCAGAGAGAGACTAGAGGGAGACTAGAGAGAGACCAGAGAGAGACCAGAGAGAGACCAGAGAGAATAGAGAGAGACCAGAGAGAGACCAGAGAGAGACCAGAGAGAGACTAGAGGGAGACTAGAGAGAGACCAGAGAGAGACCAGAGAGAGACCAGAGAGAATAGAGAGAGACCAGAGAGAGACCAGAGAGAGACCAGAGAGAGACCAGAGAGAGAATAGAGAGAGAATAGAGAGAGATCAGAGAGAGACCAGAGAGAGACCAGAGAGAGACCAGAGAGAGACCAGAGAGAGACCAGAGAGAGACCAGAGAGAGACCAGAGAGAGAATAGAGAGAGACCAGAGAGAGACCAGAGAGAGACCAGAGAGAGACCAGAGAGAGACCAGAGAGAGACCAGAGAGAGAATAGAGAGAGAATAGAGAGAGATCAGAGAGAGACCAGAGAGAGACCAGAGAGAGACCAGAGAGAGACCAGAGAGAGACCAGAGAGAAACCAGAGAGAGAATAGAGAGCCAAGCCACAACACTTCTTCTTTTATTGTATTTTGACACAGTTCTTTATTAAGTCTCTCACACCTCAGACTCCAGGCTGGACACCCTCCTCCAGGGCTGAGGCAGACTCTCCCCGGGCAGACTGCCCCCAGGCAGACTCCCTCCTGGTAGACTCTGCCCATGGTACGAGCTCAGGTAGGTCTGGTACTGCTTGCCCTGGCCAGTGGCCTCTCTGTAGCTGGGCAGATGCTCTGACTGCGTGTACCTCAGCCTCTGCCCCCTGCGGCCGTGAGGTTTGCGCTGGTCCTGCCGCAAGTGGAGGTACGCACAGCCACGCGCTTTGCTAGCTTTGTTTGGGAACAGGTCGGGGAGCACTTGTTGACCTGAGAGAGAGGAGAGGGAGGACTCGTCCTGAGGCGGCTGCCCCAGGAGCTCGCTGCCCCAGGTTGCCTTCAGGAAAGAGGGCCGGCGGTGGTGCCTTCTCCCCCGGAGCCCCAGCTCTTCCAGGGGCCACGAGCAGTAGTTGTTCTGACAAAACCCCGTGTCCCTGTGGAGGAAACTGTCCACGTGGTTAGCTTTGTTAGCTTTGTTAGCTTCAAGGTGGCGGCTCTGGAGCTCGCTCGGGTAAACGTCTCGCCGTTCGCCGTCCTGGAAGCTCCTGGACCGGTGCTTCCTCCTCGGCGTGTGGGTCGCCGTGTGGGTCGCCGTGTGAGTCGCCGTGTGAGTCGCCGTGTGGGTGGTGTAGATGTCCGGCAGCTGCAGCTCGTAGCTCAGATGTGGCGCGCGGCTGTAGCTGTGTCCTGTGGTCTGATAGTTTTGAGGGTAAGCTAGCGCCTCTGTGCTAACGGCTAAGTGTGGCGTACTGAGGCTGGACACAGGTAGCGGGCGGTCGTACAGACATGGCGTGAGGCGTTGCCGCGGCAGCTGTAACGACTGCGCCGCTAACTGCGGAGTTAGCGCTGTTCGCGGCGGTGAGGACACATGGTTCTCGGAGACGTAGGTGAAGGCGCTGGGACGACTCAGGTGCTTGATGGTTTTGGTGGCGTTGTCCAGAGAGCTCTCGACGTTGGCGGTGGAGACTAGGCCCTTAGCCGTGCGTAGCATCTTTAGCATGTTAGCTTGCGCATAGTTCACGGTCAAATCGGGTTTGGAGAGGCTCGAGCAGCGACCCGCCTCCTCCACGCCGCTGAAGCAGCTGTAGATGCCCTGAAGAAAAGAAAGAAGTCACTCTAAGAAACAGGGAGAGAGACAGAGATCAGGGAGAGAGACCAAAGAGAGAGACCAGGTAGAGACCAGAGAGTGGGAAATATCTGTGCTTTAGCACTCTCTGTGATATTGTCTTTGTAAATCCAGGGATGAGGTCTGTTTACAGTCTATAATTGTGTATTGTAAATGTTGTAATTCCTGCTCACACCACTAGTTGGCGATGGTGGCTGCTACTGGTTCTTCATCACATATCTTTTCTACACACATACTTTGTAACATGAACGAATGTGATGTGGTGCATCAGATGAAAGGCTGAAGGATCCCAGGAGCCCAGACCCCTGACCCTTCAGTAGGATCATCCAGAGAGAAAGCATCGTACATCTGTCATACCAGAGAGAGAGACCAGAGAGAAACCAGAGAGGGACCAGAGAGAGACCAGAGAGAGACCAGAGAGAGACCAGAGAGGGACCAGAGAGAGACCAGAGAGAGACCAGAGAGAGACCAGAGAGAGCTCTTACTCTGCTGATGGCGAGCAGACAGTCTGCTTCAGTCTTCCTCCTCAGAGAGTGCCTCAGTTTCCAGTAGAGCAGATGTTCCCCGGCGAAGACCATGAGACTGAGCCCCATGGCGACCAGCAGCATGTAGAAGACGCCCGCCATGTTGTCCACGTCCAGCTTACTGCTCATCACCTCGTTCTTCTCGTTCTGACAGATCCCAGAGAGCCACACGGTCTCCAGCCTCTCTGTGTCACCTGCAGGGACCAGCACACTCAGAGACCAGAGAGAGACCAGAGAGAGACCAGAGAGAGACCCGAGAGACCAGAGAAAGAGACCAGAGAGAGAGACCAGAGAAAGAGACCAGAGAGACCAGAGAGACCAGAGAAAGAGACCAGAAAAAGAGACCAGAGACGAGAGACCGGAGAGAGACCAGAGAGAGACCAGAGAAAGAGACCAGAGAGACCAGAGAGACCAGAGAAAGAGACCAGAAAAAGAGACCAGAGAAAGAGACCGGAGAGAGAGACCGGAGAGACCAGAGAAAGAGACCAGAGAGAGAGACCAGAGAAAGAGACCAGAGAAAGAGACCGGAGAGAGAGACCAGAGAAAGAGACCAGAGAGAGAGACCGGAGAGAGAGACCAGAGAGAGACCAGAGAGAGAGACAAGAGAAAAACCATGAAGAGAGAATCCAGAGACCAGAAAGACCAGAGAGAGAGACCAGAGAGAGCAGGGAGAGCAGAGAGACTAGAGAGAGAGGGAGGGAGAGAAGACAGAGAGCTCTGCTATGAAATATAACGTCAAATATCTTTAACTGAAATAATGATAATCCTCTTGAACAGGTGTTACCCGCTAACATCCACATATGCTAACACACTGCAGGGTTCTCAAGCTGCGGTGCGGAGGATATTAGCTCGGACGATTCCTGGAGCTTCAGCTAAGTGTGTGTGTGTGTGAGAGAGAGAGGATTATGAGCGCCCCCTACTGTCAGGGCATATTCCCTCCTCTCACAGACTGGATTTGTTCCAGTTTTCCACTAAAGCGACTGAAGGAAACTCAACCACCCCCAAATATAAGCTTTTCCAACACGTGACTATAGCTTACTCCAGTCTCCCTCTGGTCTCTCTCTAGTCTCTCTCTGGTCTCTCTCTGGTCCCTTTCTGGTCTCTCTCTAGTCTCTGTCTGGTCTCTCTCTGGTCTCTTTTTGGTCACCCTCTGGTCTCTCTTCGGTGTCTCTCTGGTCTTTCTCTGATCCCTTTCTGGTCTCTCCCTGGTCTCTGTCTGGTCTTTCTCTGGTCTCTCTTTGGTCTCCCTCTGGTCTCACCGTCTCCGAGGAACTGGAGCAGAGCCAGGTCGACGAGGCGTTTCCATGGCGATCCTTTCTGCAGCGCGATGCCATAACCAGTGGTGGCGAACACCTTCCCGCTGCCGATGGTTACCAGTTTACAGCCTTCGTCTTTCCCCGCCATATAGTTCAGCACCGCCGCGTCATAGATGAAGGCATCCAGCTTCCTGAAGAAGAAGACCAATCAGAGACCAATCAGACACCAGAGAGAGACCAGAGAGAGACCAGAGAGAGGCCGGAGAGAGACCAGGAAGAGACCAGGGAGATGCCAGATACCAGAGAGAAACCAGAGCGAGAAGACCAATCAGAGACCAGAGAGAGAAGACAATAGAGATCAGAGAGAGACCAGAGAGAGACCAGGAAGAGACCAAGGAGAGACCAGAGACTAATCAGAGACCAGGGAGCAGAGACAAGAGAGAGCAGAGAGCGAAAAGAGAGAGCAGAGAGAAACCAGAGGGTAAAGAGAGAGAGAGCACAGAATGACAAATGAGATTAACAAAAGTACATAAAGATTCTTAAAGCCCGTTCAGAGACAGCTCCTGTATCTTCACCAATGTAATGACAGGGAGTATCAGGGACTCAGAGAGCAGCTTCAGGGACAGACTGCTCCACCCTCGCTGTGTGAAGGACAGGTTCTGCAGGTCTTTAATTGATAATCTGAACTGATGAATGTGCAAAACAAAACCATTTGTCACTTGTTGATCATGCTAAAGCTAGAGATGTTATTGCTCATTTATCTCATTCCTACTGTTCTGTAACTGGTGATGCAACACTGACATTTGCCCCCCAGCTGACCTCACACATGTCGTTGTGTGTATATTATATTGGGATGTGTGTGTATTTGTGAGACTTCAGTTGTGTTGCGTCCTGTGTGTGAGGCGAGGATAAAAGTACAATCGTCTGTTCTGTCCTTTAGTCAGAGGATGAAACATGAAAATGTGTGTCTTTAGGCTCAAGTAAAAATAAACCTGTCCATTTCAATCAACGCTTCTCCCTCCTCTGGTCTCTCTCTGGTCTCTCTCTGGTCTCTGTCTGGTCTGTCTCTGGTCTCCCTCTGGTCTGTCTCTGGTCTGTCTCTGGTCTGTCTCTGGTCTCTCTCTAGTCTCTCTCTGGTCTGTCTCTGGTCTCTCTCTGGTCTCTCTCTGGTCTCTCTCTAGTCTCTCTCTGGTCTCTGTCTGGTCTCTCTCTAGTCTCTCTCTGGTCTGTCTCTGGTCTCTCTCTGGTCTCTCTCTGGTCTCTCTCTAGTCTCTCTCTGGTCTCTGTCTGGTCTGTCTCTGGTCTCTCTCTGGTCTCTCTCTGGTCTCTCTCTAGTCTCTCTCTAGTCTCTCTCTGGTCTGTCTCTGGTCTCTCTCTGGTCTCTCTCTGGTCTCTCTCTAGTCTCTCTCTAGTCTCTCTCTGGTCTCTCTCTGGTCTCTCTCTGGTATCTCTCTGGTCTCTCTCTGGTCTCTCTCTGATCTCTCTCTGGTATCTCTCTGGTCTCTCTCTGGTCTCTCTCTGATCTCTCTCTGATCTCTCTCTGGTCTCTCTGGTTTCTCTCTGGTCTCTCTCTGGTCTCTCTCTGGTCTCTCTGATATCTCTCTGGTCTCCCTCTGTTCTCCCTCTGGTCTCTCTCTGGTATCTCTGGTCTCCCTCTGATCTCTCTCTGGTCTCTCTCTGATCTCTCTCTGGTCTCTCTGGTTTCTCTCTGGTCTCTCTCTGGTCTCTCTCTGGTCTCTCTGTCTCTCTCTGGTCTCCCTCTGGTCTCTCTCTGGTCTCTCAAAGGTCTATCTCTGGTCTCTCTAGTCTCTCTCGGGTCTCCCTCTGGTCTCCCTCTGGCCTCTCACTCTGGGTTTGTCTTTCTGGTCTCTCTCTCTCTGGTCTCTCTTTCTGGTCTCTCTTTGGTCTCTCTCTCTGGTCTCTCTCTTTGGTCTCTCTCTTTGGTCTCTCTCTCTGGTCTCTCTCTTTGGTCTCTCTCTTTGGTCTTTCTCTCTGGTCTCTCTCTCTGGTCTCTCTCTCTGGTCTCTCTCTCTGGTCTCTCTCTCTGTTCTCTCCCCCTGTTCACTCTCTCTGGTTTCTCTGGATGTGACAGTTTCTTCTAAATTTGATCTGTTTCATCTAAAAATACTAACTTTCTCATTTTGACCCAGTTCATAAATAACTCTTGGGAAAAAGAGAATGAGACGAATCTGTCCCTGGGTTAAACAGACTGATGGAGGAATTAGGTCAAGAGACTGGGGCGACAACTGGACTGGACCAGGACTGTATTCATCTGAGGTCTCTCTCTGGTCTCTTTGGTCCCTCTCTGGTCTCTCCAATCTCTCTCCGGCCTCTCTCTGGTCGCTCTATTGTATCTTTATGGTCTATCTCTCATCTCTCTCCGGTCTCTCTCTGGTCTCGCTCAGATGTCTCACTGGTCTCTCACTGGTCTCTCACTGGTCTCTCACTGGTCTCTCACTGGTCTCTCTCTGGTCTCTCTCTGGTCTCTCTCTGGTCTCTCTCTGGCCTCTCTGGTTTACCTCTGGTCTCTCGGGTCTGGTCTCCATGGTCTTACCCGGTCTTCAGAGAGTCCAGGGCCTCCTCCACTCCTTTCTGGTTGTACTTGACCATGTGTGTGTGCATGTCTGGGTAGTTGCTTCGGATGTTTCTCTCTGTGCTCCCATTTGGGACTGTCCCGAAGCGGAAGGGGGGGTAGTGCTCCTGCGGCCTCTGGAACTGACACATGGTACACCCAGGTCACACATGGTACACTCATGTCACACCTGGTCTCTCTGTGGTCTCTCTTTGAACTCTCTCTGGTATCTTTTCTCTGGTCTCTATCTGGTCTCTGGTTGCTCTGGTCTCTGGTGTCTGGACTCTGGTCCCTCTGGTCTCTGGTCTCTCTGGTCTCTGAGGTCTCTGGTCTCTCTGGTCTCTGGTCCCTCTGGTCTCTCTGGTCTCTGGTCCCTCTGGTCTCTGAGGTCTCTGGTCTCTATGGTCTCTGATTTCTATGGTCTCTGGTCTCTCTGTTCTCTCTGGTCTCTCTGGTCTCTGGTCTCTGAGGTCTCTGGTCTCTGATGCTTCAGATCAGTTCTGACTAAGACTCATCTACATAGAGACAGAAGAGTGTTTCATGTCTTTATCACGTCTCTCCAGGACCCGCCTCCACAGCAGCGTTTGAAGACAGAAGCACAAAACATCTCACGATTGCCGACTTTAAACAGAGCCGAGATTAAAGACACACTTCACTTATGCATTTGAGAAACAGATTCAAGGAGACAGAGTCCCGAGAAAGAAACATAGCGTCCAACTCTCTCTCTGGTCCCTCTCTGGTCTCTCTCTGGTCTCTCTCTGGTCTCTCTCTGTTCTCTCTCTCTAGTCTTCTCTCCGGGGCTCTCTCTGGTCTCTCTAGTCTCTCTCTGGTCTCGGGTCTGTCTTGGGTCTGTCTCTGCTCTTTGGTCTCTCTCTGGTCTCTCTTCGGTCTCTTTTGGGTCTCTCTCTCTATTCTCTCTCCGACCTCTTTCTGGTCTCTCTGGTCTTTCTTTGTTCTATCACAGTCCAGGTCTAGTTCTGGTTTTGGTCCAGTCCTGCGTCACTCCTTATCCAGCCCTAATCTCGGTCATGTCCTTGTCCTGTCCTGGTCCAGTCCTGGTTCAGTCCTGGTCCTTGCTCTGGTCCAGTCCTTGTCCTTGCTCTGGTCCAGTCCTGGTCCAGTCCTGGTCCAGCCCCGGCCCAGTCCTGGTTCTGGTCCAGACCTTCTTGTCGGACAGGCCGGAGACCGTGTCGATGTACTGCTCCTGGATCATGAAGGCGGCCAGGTTGGCGGTGTAGGAGGCGAGGAAGATGACGGCGAAGAAGGCCCAGACCAGGACCATGATCTTGGAGGTGGTTCCTCTCGGGTTCTCGATCGGAACAGAGTTGTTGAACACGATCCCCCACAGTAGCCACACAGACTTCCCAATGGTGAAGGTGGGACCCCCAGGAGCTGAGGACCAGACATCACACCAGGTCTCTCGTTGGTCTCTCTTTGGTCTCTCTCTAGTCTCTCTTGTATCACTGGTCTCTCTCTTTGGTCTTTCTCTAGTCTCTCTTTGGTCTCTCTCTGATCTCTCTCTAGTCTCTCTTGTATCACTGGTCTCTCTCGTTGGTCTCTCTCTCTTTGGTCTCTCTTTGGTCTCTCTCTGGTCTCTCTCTGGTCTCTTTCTGGTTTGTCTGGTCTGTCTGATCACTCTCAAGTCTCCCTCTGGTCTCCCTCTGGTCTCTCTCTGGTCTCTCTCTACTCTCTCTTGTATCACTGGTCTCTCTCTCTGGTCTCTCTCTCTGGTCTCTCTCTCTGGTCTTTCTCTCTGGTCTTTCTCTCTGGTCTCTTTCTGGTTTGTCTGGTCTCGTCAGTACTCACTCTTGGCTCGGAGCAGGCTCTGGTTGTATCCCACTGGACTGAAGTACTCGAATACAAATACTGTAACTGCCACAACAGTCAGACACATGACGAACATCATCACCCACACAGCAGGACTGTAGGGCTCTGTGGAGAGAAGGTACTGATGGTACTGCTGCTGGTACTGATGATGCTGATGGTATTGATGGTACTGTTGCTGTCACTGCTGCTACTGCTCCCCCTCCTGCTCTTCCTCCTCCTGATCCTCCTCTTCCTCCATCTCCTGCACCTGTCCTCTTCCTCCTCCTCCTGCTGCTCCTCCTCTTCCTCCTGCTGCTCCTCCTCTTCCACCTCCTCCTGATCCTCCTCCTCCTGCTCCTTCTCTTCCTCCTCCTCCTTCTCCTCTCCCTCCTGCTCCTCCTCTTCCTCCTCCTGCTCCTTCTCCTCCTCCCCCTGCTCCTCCTCCTCCCCTTGCTCCTCCTCCTCACCCAGAAAGGCAGAAGGAGACACGGTCCCGTTGCTGCGTGCCACCATCACACTGATCCCCGTCTCCACGAATGGAACCGAGAAGTCGATGATCTCTGAGCGCTCCTCGTTTATGGTCAGGGATCCAATCGCCATGTCTGCTCTGCGGTACACCACCTATGGTACAGGTACCAGTGAGACCAGAGGGATACTACATAGACAGACCAGAGACAGACCAGAGAGAGATCAGAGAATGAGACTAGAGAGAGATGCGATTGCAGCAAGTAGAAATGTTCATGTGCATCCATTATATTTTCTATCTACTGATCAGTGTTTTTAGCATTAACATTAGAGAGACCAGAGAGGGACCAGAGAGACAGGAGAGAGACCAGATAGATCAGTGACAGACCAGAGAGAGATACGATTGCAGCAAGCAGCAATATTCATATCTACTGAGCAGTATAATTAGCATTAGCATTAGCATTAGTATTAGAATTAGAATTAGCTGTAGTAGAATTATTATTAGCATTATCATTAGCAGTAGCACGTCTGACCTCTCCAATCATCCCGTTCCACGTGCCCCGCACCAGCTTGCCGTGCTTTCCGTTGGTCACCAGGTAAAGGTCGTACGAGAACTTGATATTTTTGGAAAGTTTCTTCAGGATGTCGATGCAGAAACCTTTACAGCACAGTTTGGTGTAGGACTCTGAGTGTCTGATGGTACTGAGGAGGAACGGGCCAAAACAACACATTACACTGAGGAGGAACGGGGCAAAACCAAACATTACCAATATCTATGGTCTCTCTGGTCTCTCTCTGGTCTCTATGGTCTCTTTCTGGTCTCTCTCTTTGTTTCTCTCTGGTCTCTATGGTCTCTTTCTGGTCTCTCTCTTTGTTTCTCTCTGGTCTCTATGGTCTCTTCCTGGTCTCTCTCTTGTATCTCTCTGGTCTCTGTCTCTCTGGTCTCTCTCTATTCTCTCTCTGGTCTCGCTTTGGTCTCACACTCTCTCTCTCACCTGTGTGTCTGGTTGTGCCTCTCGGTCCGGTTCCACTGCCTCCTACATGGTACCGTGTTGCGGACACAAGTCCCAGTACCAGGATCCACTTCTTCCACCATCACGAAGGGATGCTCCTCCAGCGTTGCCACGGTGAGGTGTCTGTCGTCCGTCACATGCTCCAGGAACAGCCCGTAACGAGGCCAGACCGGGTACCGCACCTGGAGGATCCCCCGCCGGTATGTGCCCACCTGGTGAGAGACCAGGGGAGAGTTCAGGGCAGAGTCCAAGGGAGAGACCAGAAAGAGGCCAGGACTAATAAATCTAGGGAACAGTTTTAATAGATGCTTCACATGTCATTATATAAGACAGCCCCCAATCAGAGCAGACGGAGAGCGTTTGTGAGCGGCACATTCCTCAGATTTTCACTTGTCTATCTTCCCATCAACTGTGACGTCTCCCTACTGAAGAAAAGCAGCCCACAACATGATGCTGCCACCCCTGTTTCTGCACTGTATGAATACTTTTGCAAGCCCCACTGTTCTCCTGTCGTGTGATGATGGTGTAGTGGCACTTTTACAAAGCCCTGTATGACACTGCTCATGTCATGTTAGCGATGAGGGGTTGTTTTTTCCTTTACCTTGTCCCAGAGTCGGTCTCGGTCCAGAGTGATCAGCAGCAGCGACGGATTGGACAGAAATCCTCTAGAGTTAAAAGAAAGGTCCTTTTTCTCCCAGGTCACGTTCAGCATGTGTCTGAGGATACAGCTGGTTACCATGAGACACCAGAGAGACAATAGACCAGAGACCAGAGAGAGACCAGAGAGACGATAGACCAGAGACCAGAGAGACACCAGAGAGACGATAGACCAGAGACCAGAGAGACCAGAGAGAGACCAGAGAGACGATAGACCAGAGACCAGAGAGAGACCAGAGAGACGATAGACCAGAGAGAGACCAGAAAGAGACCAGAGAGAGCCCAGAGAGAGCCCAGAGAGACCAGAGAGACGTGTGATTTTGGCAAAACCTTGAGATTGAGTTATTGTATATTGGAAAATATGAAAATAACATAATTTTTTCACAGAATATCCAACATGGCGCTGTGTAATCGTTCATATTTCATTTGAGGAACAGCGTCAGAACACAGAGAGCAGAGAGAGTCAATCTGAAAGTGATTTAAATTATGCAAATCTCCAGAAGTCATAGATTCTAAGTAACGAGCTCTTCCGGACCAATCAGCAGCTCGTTTCCTCTTAACGAGCTCTTCCTGACCAATCAGCAGCCTGCGGAGGTGGCTTTAATTAAGAGCTGGGATATGCAAATGCGGCCCTTGCGTCAGCCCACGCACAGACAGAGGGGCCCAGGTCTGAACCAGGACTGAACCAGAACTTAGGTCTAAGCCAGGACTGAGCCAGGTCCGAACTAGGACTGAGCTAGGGCTGGTTCTCGCTCTAGTCTCTGATCTCTCTCTGGTCTCCCAATGGTCTTTCTCTGGTCTTTCTCCTGTCTTTCTGGTTTCTCTGGTCTCCCCTTCACCTGTAGAGACTGCTGTTTCTCTGCCTCTGACCACTCTCTTGTCACTCGCTGGTCTCTCTATGGTCTCTCTGGTCTCTATATTGTCTCTCTTTGGTCTCTCTCTCTCACCTGTAGAGACTGCTGTTTCTGTGGTCTCTCTCCCCGCCGCAGTCGCCCTGTCCCTCTGGTACATATCCGTGCAGTTTCCTGTAGCTGTCTGCGGCCTCGGACACGATGGCCACGCCCTCTCGGACACGCTGACGCAGACTCTTCTTCCACTGCTCTGTGATGACGCCAATCACGCCCACGGGGAAGCTGGTGGGGGGGACGTGGTCGGGGTTACCCACCGCCATGCTGGGGAGGACCCAGATGTACCCGGGTCCCAACAGACCAACCTCTGAGGCTTGACGGAATAGGTACTGCGCCTCCGCGAAGGAGCAGTACAGCAGCAAGACCTGGGCATCCACCTGCAGGACAGAAGAGTGAGTCAGAGTCTCTCTCTGGTCTCTCTGGTCTCCCTGGTCTCTCTCTGGTTTCTCACCTGCTGCAGTATCCTCCTGGTCTTGGCGTCGCTGGTGCCCACAGACATCTCGACACTGATGATGTCCTGCAGGCTCCAGAGGAAGTATGAGGAGTCGATGTAGGTCTCCACGATGTCGATGAAGGTGAGGTACCCAGGCAGCAGGCTGGTGATCACCGAGAACTCTCCCCAGTCGTACTCCTCCAGCAGCTGGGGCACACAGGGTCAGAGGTCAGAGGTCAGAGGTCAGAGGTCAGGGTCAGAGGTCAGGTGGCTGGGAAAAGATAGGGAAACTGGGGAATGTAACTTCAGTCTCATAAATAAATACCTTAAACATACAGAGAATCTGCTGCTCCAGAGACGCTCCCATCTGCAGGAAGGACGAGCCCTCAGACTGAGGACACACACGAGTTAGAAACAAGACCAGAGACCAGAGAGGCACTAGAGAGATACCAAAGAGAGACCAAAGTGAGACCAGAGAGAGACACACAGAGAGACACACAGAGAGAGATAGAGACTTGAGAAAGACCATTTAAAATACCACGAACGCACGATAACCAACATGGAGTCTTTGAAAGCCGGGGTATTGATAGTAGATGGAGAGAGCAGACGTGTTCCCGTTCTGTCAGACTCTGCATACATTAGGATCCTCCACACACAGACACCGCCTTCTCTAATGAAGCTGCACTTCACTGGAGGTTGAAAGATCTGGCCCTTTCTGGTGTCTTTCTCCAGTCTTTCTGGTCTCTCTCGTCTCTCCCCCTCACCTGTAGACACTGCTGTTTCTCTGCTCTCTCTCTGTCTCTAGTTTCTCACTGGTCTCTCTCTCGTCTATCTGTAGTCTATCTCTGGTCTCTTTCTGGACTCTCTACTGTCAGATTGTTAGTTGTTTTCAAAACAAACCAGCGCCCTTCTCCCTCGTCCTCACCTCTCTCCCCTCTCAACCTCTCCACTCTCCCTCACCCCTCTCCTTCGTCCTTACCCCTCTCCCTCACCCGTCTTTCCCCACACGTCACTCCGATCGGGGTAATGAGGTTCTCCAGCTTGGCTCTACTGCACAGAGTATGGAAATGTGACAGCTGAGGTCCCAGAGGAGAGAGAGAAGGGAGAGAGGAGAGAGGGGGAGAGGAGAGAGGCGGGGGGAGGAGAGAGATCCTTCTAGTCTCCCCCAGGTCTCTTTCTGGTTTAGACAAATTAGACAAACAGGTTAGAGGAACTGTTAGCTGCAGGACTGTTAATGATACTAAAATGTGGCAAAGCTGATAGACGCGTTGGTGATGACGCTTCAGGCTCTTATCAACGCTGCGCTGGTGGAAAAGCAGGAACAAAACACCTGTTCCAGGCCAAGAGGAATGGGCCAAAACAGATCCACAGCCAGAGGAATGGGCCAAAATAGATCTACAGTCAGGGGAATGGGCCAAAACAGATCCACAGCCAGAGGAATGGGCCAAAACAGATCCACAGCCAGAGGAATGGGCCAAAACAGATCCACAGCCAGAGGAATGGGCCAAAAAAAGACAGCAACTCAAAGCTGAGAGGCCCTGCTTAAGACCTAGTCCAGTCCTGGTTCAGTCCTGGTTCAGTCCTGGTCTAGTCTTGGTCTAGTCCTGGTTCCGTCCTGGTTCCGTCCTGCCTCAGTCCTGGTCTAGTCCTGGTCTAGTCCTGGTTCAGTCCTGGTTCAGTCCTTAAATCAGTTTGGCTTCTGTCACTTCTTCAGATCCCCCTTTTCTGACAGAAAAGTGAAACAGAGAGGACCAGCCTCGAGCAGCCAATCAGCTCTCAGCCCAAAGAGTCAGAATGTGACTCCCAGAGAACGTTGTCACATTTGAAGCCTCCAGCCGCTAAATGAACATTAGTATCAGCTCTGATGGGTTTCTGTGACGAAATCTAATAATACAGGTGTTGAAGAGTTAATCAGCAGCAGAGCTAACCCCGCTAATGACAACTTATTCTAAAGTTAGGAGGGTGCTGTCAAGACTCTAGCACGATTTAGTCCTGCTTTAGACCTGCTTTAGACCTGCTTTAGTCCTGCTTTAGACCTGCTTTAGTCCTGCTTTAGACCTGCTTTAGACCTGCTTAAGTCCTGCTTTAGACCTGCTTTAGTCCTGCTTTAGACCTGCTTTAGACCTGCTTTAGACCTGCTTTAGTCCTGATTTAGACCTGCTTTAGACCTGCTTTAGTCCTGCTTTAGACCTGCTTTAGACCTGCTTTAGTCCTGCTTTAGACCTGCTTTAGACCTGCTTTAGTCCTGCTTTAGTACTGCTTTAGACCTGCTTTAGTCCTGCTTTAGTCCTGCTTTAGACCTGCTTTAGACCTGCTTTAGACCTGCTTTAGTGCTGCTTTAGTCCTGCTTTAGACCTGCTTTAGACCTGCTTTAGACCTGCTTTAGTCCTGCTTTAGACCTGCTTTAGTCCTGCTTTAGACCTGCTTTAGACCTGCTTTAGTCCTGCTTTAGACCTGCTTTAGACCTGCTTTAGTCCTGCTTTAGACCTGCTTTAGTCCTGCTTTAGACCTGCTTCAGACCTGCTTTAGTCCTGCTTTAGACCTGCTTTAGACCTGCTTTAGTCCTGCTTTAGACCTGCTTTAGACCTGCTTTAGTCCTGCTTTAGTCCTGCTGTAGTCCTGCTTTAGACCTGCTTTAGACCTGCTTTAGACCTGCTTTAGTCCTGCTTTAGTCCTGCTTTAGACCTGCTTTAGACCTGCTTTAGACCTGCTTTAGACCTGCTTTAGACCTGTTTTAGGCCTGCTTTAGACCTGTTTTAGGCCTGCTTTAGACCTGTTTTAGGTTGATGATGAGGAAAGAGTGTGGATTATTCTGCTGCTGATAGTTTCACCCAAATATTTGAGCTGCGTCTTCGCTTTGACCCATTTAAGTCTTAATCTGAGAGACTCCGGAGAATGGGCGGAGCTACCACCCAGGTGTCTGTGTGTGTGTCTGTGTCTGTGTGTGTGTGTCTGTGTGTGTGTGTGTGTGTGTGTGTGTGTGTGTGTGCGTGTGTCTGTGTGTGTCTATGTGTGTCTATGTGTGTGTATGTGTGTGTATTTGTGTGTGTGTGTGTCTGTGTCTGTGTGTGTCTATGTGTGTGTGTGTGTGTGTCTGTGTCTATGTGTGTCTGTGTGTTTGTGTGTGTGTGTGTCTGTGTCTGTGTGTGTCTATGTGTGTGTGTGTCTGTGTCTGTGTGTGTCTATGTGTGTGTGTGTGTCTATGTGTCTGTGTGTGTTGCTTTGGAAACACAGAAATAGGCCAGATCTGATTCTCAGATGACACCGTGGTTAGTGCTTGTGTTTCACAGCAAGAAGGTCCTGGGTTTGATTCCACTTCCAGGTTTTCTCCAGGTGCCCCAGTTTCCCCTACCACTAAAATCATGTGCAATAGTCTGAATGTAATGAGAAAGTGAATGGATGGTGTTTGGTCGGAGGCTTTGATGGTCCAGTGTGTTCTGGTCCCATTTCATCACCGTGTGGAGAGAATGGAAACAGACCAGAGAGAGAGACCAAAGAGACCAGAAAGAGACCAGAGAGAGACTGGTCTCTGGTCTCTCTCTGGTCTCTTTGGTCTCTTTCTGGTGTCTCTGTTTTCATGGTACCTTGTATGGTATGACCACAGCGGAGCCTCCGCTGATTCCAACGATTGGGAGCGACGTCTGCGTGGAGAGGAAGTCCAGGATCTGAGCCACTTCTGCCACCTGCATGACCAGCAACACACACATGGTACTGCAGGACCAGCAGAACACACAAATACTGTAAGACCAACAACACACACAGCCAGAGGAATGGCTGTGTGTGTTGCAGGACCAGCAACACACGATACTGCGGGACCAGCAACACACACGGTACTACGGGACCAGCAACACACACATGGTACGGCAGGACCAGCAACACACACATGGTACGGCAGGACCAGCAACACACACATGGTACGGCAGGACCAGCAACACACACGGTACTGCGGGACCAGCAACACACACGGTACTGCGGGACCAGCAACACACACATGGTACCTAGACTCTACCAGACACAGATCAACACAAACATTAGATCAGGACTCAACTGAACCAGCTCTGATGCAGGACCAAACTTGGACTAAACTAGGTCTGGACCAGGGCTGGACCAGGTCTGGACCAGGTCTGGACCAGGTCTGGACCAGGTCTGAACCAGAACTAAACCAACCCTAAACCAGGACTAAACCAGGACTAAACCATGACTAAACCATGACTAAACCAGGACTAAACCAGGACCATAAAGTGCCTGACAGTAGTACATTATCCATGCAGCAGTTTGGGATTTACAGAATGTGAGCCGTTCAAGATCCTGCTGAGACAAAGACGTCAAGTTTCCATCAGAAAAACTGGGTCTTGGAGACCAGACCAGAGAGAGACCAGAGAGAGACCAGTAGCAGACCAGAGAGAGACCAGAGCGAGACCAGAGAGAGACCAGAGAGGGACTCTTGTCTCTCTCCCTCCCCCTCACCTGTGCGTCCTCCCCCCACCTGCCTCACCTGTGCGTCCTCCTCCTCCCTCACCTGTGCGTCCTCCTCCTCCCTCACCTGTGCGTCCTCCCCCTCCCTCACCTGTGCGTCCTCCTCCTCCCTCACCTGTGCCTCCCCTCCTCCCTCACCTGTGCCTCCCCTCCTCCCTCACCTGTGCCTCCCCTCCTCCCTCACCTGTGCCTCCCCTCCTCCCTCACCTGTGCGTCCTCCCCCTCCCTCACCTGTGCCTCCCCTCCTCCCTCACCTGTGCGTCCTCCCCGTACACCACGTCGTCCTCGAACACCACGGCGTGCAGCTTCTCGGTCTCCATGGCGACACAGAGGCGTGTGAGGAGGGCGCGGGGGTTGGTGTCGTTGACCAGGACGGTGCGAGGGTTCACGGTCAGGGGGAGGTCCAGGAAGTTCTCGGCACTCAGCTTCCCCCTCACCTCCCCGACGTACGACGCCCCCGAGAACACCACCGCCACATTCACCGAGGGCTGAGGCAGCAGAGGGCGAGAAGAGGCCAACAGGGGGCAGCAGAGGAGGGGGAGAAAGGGGAGGAGGGGGAGCAGGGGGAGGGGCATCGCTGCTGTCTGCAGGGGAGACACAAACTAAGGTTATTATGTCAAAAAATTATCTTTAGAATATCTACTTCAACGTCTCTTATGGTCTCTCTCTGGTCTCTCTCTGGTCTCCCTCTGGTCTCCCTCTGGTCTCCCTCTGGTCTCCCTCTGGTCTCTCTCTGGTATTTATGATCTCTGTCTTATGTTTTTTGGTAAGTCCATGTTCAGACCTGGTTCAGACCTAGTTCAGTCCTGGTTCAGACCCGGTTCAGTCCTGGTTCAGACCCGGCCCTGCAATAGATAACTTTCACGTGACGTCACATGCTGTGAAACAAAGCTCAGTTTACCGGGGGTCGGCCATGTTGGTGGTAAAGCTCGCTGCTGTAGCTGGTCACGCTCTAATGTCACATCAGAGTCTTTCAAGCGTCATGTCAGTTCTTTGAAGCAATGCCCTACAATTGTGCCGTGTTTCATTTGGTTTACGTTTTTGTTTACGTTTTGTTTTTGCAGATTGGAAATCCATCTCGCAAATTGGAATATAGGGCACTTGTTTGACATAGGTTGGCATGACCCACTTGCTCTTCTCCTGGGTACAGGGAACGGAACCCTCCGCACCACGGGTTCTACTGCGAACAGTGCTCCTACAAACAAGCTTCACTAAGGCCATGCAGCTGCAGTGCGCGAACACATTTCTGTCATTCTCAGCCACAAACCAAGTTTTCAATGATGTTTCTTGCGCTCTCTGGGAATGGTTGATTTAAAAAGAATAAAATGACAATCAGGGCGAGGGGCGACAGTAGCTCAGTTGGTAGAGCACTGGCCTTAACCAGAAGGTCGTGGGTTCAATTCCCACCTCTGCGCCTTCTCCACCGACTCCCACTGATGACTGCTGTCGTTGTGTTCTTGGGCAAGACACTTAACCCCACTGAAAGATCAAGGCTATGCTCACACTCAGAGAGCAGCCGTCCTCCTGTGGACTCACCACCTGCAGAGGGTCAGTGAGGGGCTGGTGCTATAAGACTTGGGTGGCATCTCTGACTGCCACTCCCCTGACCCAGAAATGAATTAAAGGGAAGAAAATGGATGGATGGATGGAAAATGACAATCAGCAAAGAGCGTTTGTAGATACAATATATAAAAGACGTGACGCACGTGACGTCATAAACATTAAACTACAAAGCTAAACTCAAAAATAACTGATCAATAATTCAACTCAAACCTTCTTTGTCTGAAGCTTGATCAGCCTGATACGGAAAAGTTGAATGCTTCCATTGATTTGTCACATCAGTAAACCACCAACATGGCGGACGCTGATGACATCATCAGTTTTGGTCACATGGTTGAAAGTCATCTATTGGACCGTTTTCATATTTTGATCAAAATACAAAAGTTTCATTTGTATTTTGTGACTTAATCTGAGGCTGTAATCCCAGCGTCCGTATCAGTGTACTGGCCCTTTAGCTACAATCCACTAAATCCACTGTGTGTGTGTGTGTGTGTCTCTGGTCTCTCTCTCTGGTGTTTCTCTGGTGTTTCTCTGGTGTCTCTCTGGTGTCTCTCTGGTGTCTCTCTGGTGTCTCTCTGGTGTTTCTCTGGTCTCTCTCTGGTCTCTCTCTCTGGTCTTTCTTTGGTGTCTCTCTGGTCTCTCTCTCTGGTCTCTCTTTGGTGTCTCTCTGGTCTCTCTCAGCTGATGGAGGACAGTGTTGGGTGTGATGAGGAGGGGGGCTGTAACACGAGCTGAAGCTGAGGAATCCAGCCTCTTCTTCTGCGGCTGATGTTGAGTCCTGGTTCTTCCCTTGTGGCCGACTGCAGTAATGACAGCCGCCTCCGCTTTAATTAAAGATGATTTAATTTGAATTTAAACACATTATTCTGAAGAGACCAGAGACTGCAGCTGATAGAGACTAGGACTAAAACAGGTCTAAAGCAAGACTAAAGCAGGTCTAAAGCAGGTCTAAAGCAAGACTAAAGCAGGACTAAAGCAGGTCTAAAGCAGGTCTAAAACAGGTCTAAAGCAGGACTAAAGCAGGTCTAAAGCAGGACTAAAGCAGATCTAAAGCAGGACTAAAGCAGGACTAAAGCAGGTCTAAAGCAGGTCTAAAACAGGTCTAAAGCAGGACTAAAGCAGGTCTAAAGCAGGACTAAAGCAGATCTAAAGCAGGTCTAAAGCAGGACTAAAGCATATCTAAAGCAGGACTAAAGCAGGACTAAAGCTGGATTAAAGCAGGTCTAAAGCAGGACTAAAGCAGGACTAAAGCAGGACTAAAACAGGTCTAAAGCAAGACTAAAGCAGGACTAAAGCAGGTCTAAAGCAAGACTAAACCAGGTCTAAAGCAGGTCTAAAGCAGGTCTAAAGCAGGTCTAAAGCAAGACTAAACCAGGTCTAAAGCAGGTCTAAAGCAGGTCTAAAGCAAGACTAAAGCAGGACTAAAGCAGGTCTAAAGCAAGACTAAACCAGGTCTAAAGCAGGTCTAAAGCAGGTCTAAAGCAGGACTAAAGCAGGACAAAAGCAGGTCTAAAGCAAGACTAAAGCAGGTCTAAAGCAAGACTAAAGCGGGACTAAAGCAGGTCTAAAGCAGGTCTAAAGCAGGACTAAAGCAGGTCTAAAGCAGGACTAAAGCAGGACTAAAGCAGGACTAAAGCAGGTCTAAAGCAGGACTAAAGGAGGTCTAAAGCAGGACTAAAGCAGGTCTAAAGCAGGTCTAAAGCAGGACTAAAGCATATCTAAAGCAGGACTAAAGCAGGACTAAAGCTGGATTAAAGCAGGTCTAAAGCAGGACTAAAGCAGGACTAAAAAGGTCTAAAGCAAGACTAAAGCAGGACTAAAGCAGGTCTAAAGCAAGACTAAACCAGGTCTAAAGCAGGTCTAAAGCAGGTCTAAAGCAGGTCTAAAGCAGGACTAAAGCAGGACAAAAGCAGGTCTAAAGCAAGACTAAAGCAGGTCTAAAGCAAGACTAAAGCGGGACTAAAGCAGGTCTAAAGCAGGTCTAAAGCAGGACTAAAGCAGGACTAAAGCAGGTCTAAAGCAGGACTAAAGCAGGACTAAAGCAGGTCTAGAGCAGGTCTAAAGCAGGACTAAAGCAGGTCTAAAGCAAGACTAAAGCAGGACTAAAGCAGGACTAAAGCAGGACTAAAGCAGGACTAAAGCAGGACTAAAGCAGGTCTAAAGCAAGACTAAAGCAGGTCTAAAGCAGGACTAAAGCAAGACTAAAGCAGGACTAAAGCAGGTCTAAAGCAAGACTAAAGCGGGACTAAAGCAGGTCTAGAGCAGGACTAAAGCAGGTCTAAAGCAGGACTAAAGCATGTCTAGAGCAGGTCCAAAGCAGGACTAAAGCAGGTCTAAAGCAGGACTAAAGCAGGACTAAAGCAGGTCTAAAGCAGGACTAGAGCAGGTCTAAAGCACTAAAGCAGGACTGAAGCAGGTCTAAAGCAGAACTAAAGCAGGTCTAAAGTAGGACTAAAGCAGGTCTAAAGCAGGACTAAAGCGGGTCTAAAGTAGGACTAAAGCAGGTCTAAAGCAGGACTAAAGCGGGTCTAAAGCAGGTCTAGGGCTGATCTAAAGCATGTCTGAAACAGGTCTAAAGCAGGTCTAAAGCAGGTCTAAAGCGGGTCTAAAGTAGGACTAAAGCAGGTCTAAAGCAGGTCTAAAGCAGGACTAAAGCGGGTCTAAAGTAGGACTAAAGCAGCTCTGGGATCAACTCGCTCCATAAACGGATTATTAAAACATGCTAACAGTCTCACGTGGGACAGAGCGTTAGCGGAATTCAGCAATTTGTGTTTTCAGAATAAATCAGGCCACGGTGGTTCACACTAACTCTCTCTGCATTCAGACATTTCAATGGGAAAAACCTCATGAGTCCAGAGAGAGACCAGAGAGAGACCAGAGAGAGACCAGAGAGAGACCAGAGAGAGACCAGAGAGAGACCAGAGAGAGACCAGAGAGAGACCAGAGACAGACCAGAGAGAGACCAGAGAGAGACCAGAGAGAGAGCAGAGAGAGACCAGAGAGAGAGCAGAGAGAGACCAGAGAGAGACCAGAGAGAGACCAGAGAGAGAGCAGAGAGAGACCAGAGAGAGACCAGAGAGAGACCAGAGAGAGACCAGAGAGAGACCAGAGGTAAAGCACTAATATAATAACTCTTCCTCTTAAACGTCTCACTGTTGCATTAATGACCCCTCCCCCCTTCAGTGCTCAGAGCCCTGTCCATCACTTGTCACATATCGACACATGGTGTCAGGACCATGAAGAGGCCACATCCAAGCATTCAGACTGAGGATTGATGCAGGGGCCTCTGTGGGGGCCCAGGGGAAAGGGGTGGGGCCTGTGTCTGATGAGAGCTGTCAGAGGCTGACAGAGGACTATGTGGTCTCCAAACTGCAGGTCAGTTGGGACAGGGCGCCGTGTTGTTTGGACCTGGCTTTTCACACCAGCACCAGAGAGAGACCAGAGAGAGACCAGAGAGAGACCAGAGAGAGACCAGAGAGAGACCAGAGGGAGACCACAGGGAGAGAGACCAGAGAGAGACCAGAGGGAGAGAGACCAGAGAGAAACCAGAGGGAGAGAGACCAGAGAGAGACCAGAGGGAGAGAGACCAGAGAGAGACAGAGGGAGAGAGAGAGAAACCAGAGAGACCAGAGAGAGGGGGAGACCTGAGAGAGACCTTTGGGAGACAAGAGTGAGACCAGAGAGAGAGGCTTTGGTCTTTTATTCCAGTAAACCTGTTTCTACTAAATTCGTGTCTAAAAACAACTGTTTAAAGATGTTTTACTCACGTTCACCTTTCATCCATCGCTCGCTGCTCGGATCGATCCATCGTTTGGTTTGACGTCAGAGGAGGTCAGAGAGACGCACACTCAGACACAGGAACGCACAACGACAAACACACAACAACAATTATCCACAGAATCTGGAGCTCGGATTCTGATTCAGGAAGAAGGATCTGAACCAAAGCTTCAATCTCAGAGAATCGCTGTGATTTAGGAAAACACAAATAGGACCAAGAAAAAAAAAAAGTTTTCAG